ACTGTCAGTCTTATGGCACATGCACAGATTCAAAGAGTGAAGCATGTTTTTGCAGCAACATGCCACGAGGAACAAGCACTCGAATTCACCATACGAACATGCTAACCAGCAGTCCACGCCTACTTCACGTGAGTTAGAGAAAATCTAATGATACAAAATCTTGAACAATATCAGAGGGTATATGAGAGAAACCAGAAGTCTTTTTACACAACCTGATCAAAATGCATAAACTTAATGATGGTATAGTATGTTCTAATTTTATTATCAGGATATTTCTCACTCAAGCTCAAAATTGACAAAAGATTATCTAAAAACATTCTATATGTTCCCAATAAAATCCCACTGTGGGCGCCATTGAGCGTATGATGTGGCGCTAAACACGCCTCGATTTTTAACAATAAACATGTTATAAAAGTTACATCAGTTTCGCTACTTAGCTAGGAATAACCGTATTTCTCACTGATTGCATCCTTTTGGTCAGTAGTTCAAAGTTAGGGGTAGTTGTGTGTGAACCGTTTGGCCTCTGTCTGGCCATTCAGCCCATGTGTCACATAAGGTACAATTCAGGTTGAAAATGCCACTTCTCAGGGAGGACAGAGAGAAAAACACATATTTTCATCTACTTCAACAACTAATTTCATTAAAATATCAATTATCTTTAGTTATATCAATCCAATGCCACATATAGTTTCCATAAAGAAGCGTACATTTATCAAACATATAAACAGAAAACAAATTATAAGTATATATAAATGTTCACATAAATGAACTAGATTATTTGTGACTCTAACAATGGTATCTTGCTCCTATAGATTATATGAGTCGAATAACGAAAACAGATAAATATTTAAAATTTAAATTAATAGAAAAAAGTTTGTTTGTTGTTAAGCGCAAAGCTACACAATGTGCTGTGCTCACCACGTTATCAATAATCGGTTTTTAGAGTTGTAACCCTTCAAAGTTATCGCTGAGCCACTGTCTGGGCGAAAAAATAGAATAACATAAATATTCTGTTTGTTTGTTGTTAAGCGCGAGGCTGTATGAAATTGCTAAATAAACGTTTAATTTTCTGTTCAACCTATATATGTGCATCACCTCTTTATATCTAATTTTATAAATTTTCAGGGATTTATTTTGTATCTCTTAATATTTCATTTCAATATATTTTGATTACCTATATATCTTATATTTCGAGCAATGGGTTTTAAATAATTATTTTAATATATTTTGATTTTAGTGAATGTCAGATCAATTTTAATTATAACAAATGCAAGGTAATGCATGTGAGATATCACAGTTTGAATTATCAATATAAATGTAATGGGAATAACCTCGAGAGGGTTATGGTAGTAAAAGATCTTGGTTCTCTGGTTGAACAGCCCCCCAGTAGCACAGCGGTATGTCTGCGGACTTACAACGCTAGAATCCGGGTTTCGATACCCGTGGTGGGCACAGCACAGATAGCTCATTGTGTAGCTTTGTGCTTAATTTACAAACCAACCAACCTGGTTGAACAGTCTCTTAAGCCATTCGAGAAATGTGCTTTTGCAAGAAGCAGGGCAAATAGGATTTTAGGTTGTATCTACAGAAATAATGAATGCAAGTCTAAAGAGGTTATAATGCTATTGCCAGGTTTTATATGTACATTCTAGATTATTTACTGTAGGTCTCTGTGACATGTTGACGATAAATTTCAACAATAAACAAACAGCACAAAGTTAACTTGTTTTAAAATAACACATTAAAACAAATCAAAGGTATACACATGTATATAAATGTTTGTTACAGTGTTGGTTATCACAGTGTTTGTACCCACAACTTTAAATAATTGTTTTTCCCCGTCAAATTCCACACAATCTGGTGCAGTTACTTTAGAATACAATTTGACAAGCCGGATTATTCTTCTCTACCCTGTTATTGCAATGCAATCTGTGACAATTTCACTTTGAAAATCGCCACTGGACGCTATTTATGGCTAAATTCACAATCACGCATTCTAGATCTATTTAACTAATAAACTAACTCGAATTATATTTTGGATGAGTATTTATAGCCTGACTAAGGCCTAGAACGTTCCACACACTACGAGATATTATGATGCAATAATTCTCAACAACGAGAAAAACTTAGGAGGTTCAAGTAACATGATGCAATAATACATCAATTAAACTGCTCAACGTATGATTCGTAAACAGTTGCCTAAACAAACCTGTGACAAATTATCACTTCTAAAAATAACTAACTTTAACACCCGTGCTATACTTAAATTGAAACAGTTGTGTATATCTAACAGCCATTGTACAGGTCATTGGTTAGGCCACACTTGGAGTACTGTGTTCAGTCTTTGGCTCCTTACCTTATAAATTGTTGGAAGGGACCCAGAGTAGGGTTGCTTACATAATACCAGCGATGAAAAGATTGTCAAACGAGGATAGGTGAAGATCTCTGGACTTATGTTCTCTTGAAAAAAGAAGAGTTAGAGGGGATGTGATTTAATTGTTTAATATTGTTAAGAGAATTGATAGTGTTGATTCATCATTTTTTTTCGTAATTAAAAGGAGAGAGTAGGGGACACAAATATAAATTTCGGGAGGTCTGAAGTCATGTTAAACTAAGAAAGCCTTATTTCTCTAGCAGGGTGGTTGATGTTGCCTTCAGATATGGTGATACAGTTGATGTGAGGAAGCTTAATAGAAAGCTTGGTAAATGTTTAAAAGATAAGGGCTGGCTTTGAATTTTTTAGTGTTTAGTTAAATTTACTGGATAGGACGGCCTAGATGGACCAAACGGCCCCTTGTCGTTCTTTAATGTTATGTTAAAAGTGTTATTGAATTTGTGTAGATCATAAAACATTTTGGCACTTGTTTTTCATATAGGTTTCCTTTTCTCCCAAGTATTAATTGTGTGCGAATTATTCAATAATATACAGTCTTGGCCAAAATGTTTGCATACTGTTCTATATTGATGTTATTGTCTACATGCATGAAGCAGTTATTAAGTAAATGCCCGAGTAGTAACAGAGAAGGTAGTGTATGATTGAGCATTCATTCACAAGTTATTATTCTGGTTTATATAAGTTGTTTTGAGAATTTATTCATCAAAACACACAAACACACCTGGTTTGGATAAAATGGTATGATTTTCATATAATCGTTTTCGAAACAGATCAATACTTTGTTCAGATAATTTCTCTGTACTTCATGTAGAGTCATGCCTGGTCACGAGGCAGAAGTTATAGGGCATCAAATAGCTCAACTGTCCAGAAATGAAATGAAGCAAACAGACATTGTCAGAACAATAAGGTACCCCAGTGTACTTTATCCAGAATCTTGAAACGTCATTGGACTACAGGAAACGTTGTACCAGGAAAGTATTCTGGTAGACGCCAAAAATTACTGCCAAAGTTAACAGGTTAAGGTTGAAAGAAGTCTTGCAATACCTTCAACAGGAATTGCATGAACCCATTCATTCCATAGTATCCAGAAGAAAAGTGAACAGGAGACTGACAAAACAATGTTATTTTGCAAGAAGGGCTATCTGCAAACAGATATTAACCAGAATTCACCACCATCACTATGTTACTTGGGCAAAACAGTATATCAGTTTACAGTTAGGACACTGGCAACTGATCTTTCCAGATGAGTCTTGTTTCCGGCTTTCTAAAGCTGATGGTAGGAGTCGTGTTCGTCGTTTGCCTGGAGAACAGATGAGAGAAGACTGTATTTCCCACAGGGAACACACAGGAGGTGTTGCAGTATATGTTTGGGCAGATATTCATCATAACGGAAAAACTGCTCTTCATGTCCTCCAGAGAAACGTCAATGGCACCGCCTACAGGCATAACATGGAGACGATATTTCTGTCATATACTAAGGCAAGGTTTGACAATAACCTTGTGTTCCAGAATGACAATGCCACTACCTGCAGTGTGCATATTGTACAGGATTATCTTGATCAGGAGGACGTTACAAGATTGCCATGGCCAGCAAAGTCACCAGACTGTAATCCCATTGAGAATTGTTGGGCAGAGATGAGCCGGAAAATTGGTAACTATGACCTTAAACCAGCCTTCTAGTGACAAGGTGGGATGAAGTCACGGTGGATTACATTAATAACCTAATCGAAAACATTCCTTGTTGCCTTGCGGAGGTTATTAGAGCACGAGGAGGACCAACCTAGTAATGAATGTTTAATATGAACTTATATAAGATTATCGACGCTATTTATAATAACCTGATATTATATATTGTCATTGTACATGTTTTGGTGAGGTTTTGTTGTGTTAGGTGAAATGGTGAATTATATATATTTCTACAGGTGTCTGATAAAATTGTTTGTTGTTCTAATAAATCGTTCATTATGTTCATAGAACCTGTCTCGTTATACAAATTACATATCTAGATATTTAATATAACATGCATTTCTCAGTTTGACAGTGCTCGGTGTATTTGTATTCCATCTTTAAAATAATTATCATATTTTTTTTATAGAATATGCAAACATTTTTGCCAAGATTGTATGTACAAATTTTCAGACTAAAGCTGTGGACATGTTCTGATTATTGGAGCGTTCAACTCGCAATATACGGGTCACGGGGTCGAATATGCTAACCCTTTCAGCCATATAGGAGTTCTAAAGTGACGTGAAGTTCGATCCCACTATTCGTTTGTAAAGAGTAGCTCAAGAGTTAGCGGTAGGAGGTGTCGAAAACTTCCTTACTTCTAGCATACAGTATCAAAATTAGGAAAGGCTAGTTCAAATAGCTCTCTTGTAGCTTTGCGCAAAATTCAACACAAAAAACAACAACAATTAAATGTGTCGTATATTTATATATTTTTTCATTTTCATTAAAATAATTGTTTTGTAACACTAATAATAACAACTAGTATTCAATTAGCATTGACAACTGAAGTTTTTCAAAACTTTCATTAAATGATATGTACATATATATGTTTGTGTGTGTATTTTTTATGATGTTTAACATTCTTGTATGTCTGCAGAGAGCGCTGTTTATCATACACGAGATCCAAGATCGCATTGTCATCTTGTATGCTGTGTCCTTGTTTGTACAGTTACCAATTGTTAATAAATTCTTGGTGTGACAACGACATTTAATAAAAACAATGAATATCACATCAGCTGGTAAGTCTTCTTAACTATTTTAAAGAAGAAGTAGCAATTACGAGGCCGTTGACTTGAATAATCTTCAGTAAATATTTTGAATATTAGTTGTTAGTCCTAAGCCTGTAACTGTAAATTGTAATCTACATGTATCATTGTATGCTAATTTCAGATATCCTAACATAACAGAACGTGGTTTAGTATTTGGAACTACATTTTTAGAATAAATTGGTTAAAAAACAATTAGTGAAGTTTACAAGAATATTTAGTTATTTTGAATTGGGAAGAGAAAGAAGAATGATGAACTCTCTCTCCAAATTAATAATATTAATAATACATATTATAAGTTCAAATACTCTTGTAAGTTATAACATCGATGTTTTTGTGCTTTGGTCACCATTTCATAGATCATGCACATGAATTTTTTCGGAGTTTAGATCGATAAATAAAAGTTTATAGATATAAAGGAATATGTATAACTGGTAAATTTGTATTAATATTGTTATTAACGTTAACCTATTTTTGTGTTTATATTAACAAGAAGTGAACCAAGTGGCCTTTTGTTATGTTTCGTCTTATTTAAGTTCTTATGCATTTTTATGAAATAACTGGGGGAAATGTAAAAACTCCAAACCACTTCAGGGTAGTCATTAATGCCATTCTACTGGTATAAGTATATCATTATGGTCATTTGTCAAGTGTACATATAGAATTCATTCCACTTAAGGTCATATATCCACTGGTTGAAACCTGCCAAGGTTGTTAGTGGTTTTTTTTGAAGTAATGAATTTTGTAGATGAGGCAGTAAAAACCTAGGAAAAGTTCACTACAGTCAAGCTTAACAAGTATTGTGTATGAGAAAAGGTGTCCTATGAAATTTTGTTACTGCTAGACCAATTCTGCTTGCTCTGTCAACATTATTCTTGTCAAAACTTAGCTTTATCCAAAAATCTTTATATTGCCCCGATATCTTTTCTTGTATAAAAATATTCTGATTTCTAGTTTTCTTGGATGCATCATATAAAATACAAATTTCCTGCATCATGTCTTAACCAATTTTGAACCATTTCTCTTTAACTCTTTTAGCACAGGCTCAGTCCCTGGGACCAACCTCGTAATCATTTTTTGCTTGTTATAGTTTTCATGCTATAACTTTTAAATTAGTAAGTGTATGTCAGCAAAATTTGGCAGATTATCAGTAAACATTACAATGCTTTCATATGCAAAATATAATTTTTTTTTATTAAGTGTTAAGGTTTGCAAAGCAATTTTTTTTCATGCCTTTTTTTCTTTTTGCATGTTGGATAAGCAACATGCAAAGTAATTTTCATTTTAAGATTAAAAAGGCTTTTGTGCATCAGAAAATATTCAAATTTCACATGCAAAATCTTTATAATGTTCAGATAGTTATCAAATGTTTCTTAAGAAAAAAAACTTTATATATAATCTGTTATTTTCAGTGAAGAATCTCTGTACAAGTTCGGTAGATTTGACTGATTTTGTAACCTCCATACAAAGATTAGGAAATAAATATAA